GTCCCGAAGGATATCCCAAGAAAGACAAGGATGGCAAGACATTGCCATTGCCCAAAGACACTGCAAGCAACGGCCCCTAGTCCGCGGCAGGCCTTAAGTGGCCAAGGGGTGCTAAGAATCTCCGCAAAGAAAAACAATGCTAAGAACCACCCGAAAGTGGAAAAAACCCCAAAGCTAGAACTGAGTATGTTAAAAGTCTTTATATCGCCGGTAAACTAGACAACATAATACAAGAAATGAAACAATGTGACCTAGACATCATAGGACTTAACAAAATCAGATGGCCTAACAGTGGTAAATGTACTAAAGAAAAAGTAACACTATATTACTCAGGAAATAACCTACCCTATCATTATAACAGAGTTGGACGTTTAGTTAACACAGCCTCAAACAATTCAGTAAGGAATTTCGTGGCACACTCAGATAGGGCAGCACTACTACAAGTCCAAGCCGATCCAGTTTACCTTAACATTATACAAATCTATGCACCAACCTTGGACAAGCCTGAAAATAAATTAAAACAATTGTACAGAGAGATTAACGAGTTAATGAAACGGATCAAGAAGAAACTTTTATAATCATGGGATATTTCAATGCGAAGGTAGGGCGAGGACGTGTTGAAGATGTCGTGGGTGACTTTGGTTTGGGAGATCGAAACGAGAGAGGTGATATGCTAATCCAGTTCTGCCAAGAAAAATTAGTCATTGCGAATACCTGGTACAAACTGCCACCTCGGAGACTCTACACCTGGCAGTCTCCACAACATACGCATGACAACATCGTAAGAAATCAAATTGATTTTTTATTGGTTAATCAGAGATACAGAAATGGATTGCAAGGAGTAAAAACGTACCTTGGAACAGATATCGGATCTGATCACAATCCCGTAGTAGGAAAATTAAAAATCAAGCTTAAAAAGATTAAAACAAAATCTATAAAGAAAATTGATATAAACAACTTAAAACAACCTAACGTTAAACTAAAAGTAACAGAAAGATTAAATAAGGCAATAGCGGATATCACGACAAGATCTAAATAACCGGCCAGTATAGAAGACAAATAAAATTGTATTAAAAAAGCTATCGTAACCACCACCAAGTCTCTGATCGCTTCCCAAAAGTGCAAAAAGAAGAACTGGATAACTGACAAAATATTATCAATGACAGACTACCGCAGAACATTTAAAAACAAGAACCCAACCAAACATCAGCAGATCAACCGACAAATACAAAAAGAGTGTCGCAAAGCTAAAGAACAGTGGCTACTAGATAGGTGTGCAGAAATGGAGGAATTTGAAGAAAAATATGACAACTTTAACATACATAAAGTCATTAAAGAAGTGACAGGTCATACAAAACCTTGCAGTTTTAACAGTATTGTGAAGGACAATAAATTAATTACTGATCCCAAAGATCTACTTTAACATTGGAGAAACTAGACACAGCAACTATACTCAGACACAACTAGAAAAAACTCTTATAGTAAATAGAAAATGATCCCTCCCTCAAAATATTAAAGTCAGAAGTTGTAAGGGCAATCAAACAGACCAAATTGGTAAAAGCACCAGGCCCAGACGACATATACATAGAGGTTCTAACAATGTTGAGTGAAGACAATTTAGACACCTTGGTAGATCTTTTTAATGGCATTTATGGGTCCGGTCAAACACCACAGGACTGGCTTCAATGAAGCTTTATACCAATCCCAAAAAAAGCCACTCTAATAGTTGCGACCAAATCCGAATGATCAGCTTATTAACCTAGGTCCTAAAACTCTTCTTAAAGATAATTCACATAAGAATATACAACAGATGTGAAATAAACATTAGCCCCACACAGTTCGGTTTCAGACAAGGATTTGCCACAAGAGAAGTACTTTGTAGCTTAACTGTCCTACTTCAGAAATGCAGAGATTAGCAAAAATATGTCTTTCTATGCTTTATAGATTACCAGAAAGCATTTGATTGTGTTAATCATTCAGAATTAGTAAGATTGCTCCGGGAACGTTAAATAGATGAGAATGACCTTAAAATCATAAAGAACCTTTATATGAATCAATTATCATCTGTGAGTGTAGGACAAGAATCTACATCATATTTCTCAATCGAAAAAGGTGTATGACAGGGTTGTGTTCTGTCACCCCTCCTTTTTAATCTTTACTCTAAGACGATTTTCGATAGAGCTTTAAGTGACACTGAAGATGAAATTAAAATCAACGGACAGACTATCAGTAATCTTCGCTATGCTGATGATATAGTCAAGCTGATATGCTGATAGCCCAGAAACGCTACAACGACTGGTAGATAGAATAAACACTGAAGGAGAACGACTGGACTTGAAGATTAATAAAGACAAGACTAAGATAATGGTGGTTAGTAAAACACGAAATATGCAGTTAAATATAAGAGTAAACAACAAGAACATCCAAAAGGTCCCCAAGTTCAGATATCTCGGTAAATCTAGATCCAAACATAGAGACGTAGCAGAATTGAGCAAGCCAGAACAGCATTTACTAATATGAGAACCTTGCTAAGCAATAGCAGCCTCAACTTAACGCTTCGATATCGCTTTGTAAAATGTTACATTTACTCTATACTGCTATATGGTGTAGAAACCTGAACCATAAAGGCCAATGTGATGAACCGATTGGAGGCCTTTAAAATGTAATTATTTAAAAAACTACTTAAAATTCCCTGGACAGATCACACAACAAATGTCGAAGTATTAAATTGAATGGCCAGAGAACGAGAATTGCTGCCAATAATAAAAAAAAAGAAAAACTACTTATCTGGGTCATATATTTCTAAATTCCAAGTACCAGTTCTTAAAGCTTATTATGAAAGGGAAAATAGAAGGAAAACGAGGCATCGGAAGAAAGAAATACTCAAGGCTTAAAAACATAAAAGGAATTGGACCAACCTCGATGCTCATGCACTTTTTAGAGCCACACAAGATCGAGAGGAGTATACCAGAATTGTCGTCAACATCCACTCATTGGATAGGGCACCATAAGATGATGATGCAATAAAATTAACTTGTCTCTCATTTCAGGTCACCAGAGGCTAACTACAGGGTGTTGAACTAAATGAACATACCTGCAAGCTGTTAAAGTTGGTTGGATGAACATAATAAAAGCGTTTTTACCGATCATATTGCATTGCCAGAACATGACACTTCCTTCTTTATATCTGTGAACAGATCTGGCTGATTTCATTGTTGCTTGTCTTTCTCTTACTCTAAGTACACTAATTTGTTGGTCATCAGATTTTACACAAATTCTGGTTTCGTTTGAAAATAGCACGTATGGCCAATATCCAATGTTTCACTTTTAATGTTGAAGACACCAATTTCTTCTTCTTAGAATGCTTGTCCATTTCGGACGTTGGCGATCATTCTCGCCATGATGACTTTGTTGGTTGCTATACGAAACAGCTGTGTTGAGGTTTTTCTATACCATGCTCTCAGGTTAGCAAGCTAGGATATTCTTCTTCGTCCTCGAGCCCTTTTTCTTTCAATTTTACTTTGCAAAATGTATTAAAGTAGCTCGTATCTACCTTGATTTCGCATTATATGTCCCAAGTACTGCAGCTTACGCTCTTTCATGATGTTAACCAAATCTGCGGTTGTGTTTATCCTCCGCAGTACCTCTTCATTGGTGACTTTGTCTGTCCATGGTATCTTCAGGATCCTTTTGTGTAACCATAGCTCAAAAGCCTAAAGTTTTGTCAGAGTTTGGGCCTTCAATGTTCACGTTCCTACTCCGTACAGAAGCAGTGAGTACACGTAACATTTAGGGAGTCTTATTTTTCTTTTTGCATCATTGCAAAGAAACATCATGCAGGGCAAAATTAAGGGCAAAAGAAGTGTGGGAAGAAGAAAAATATCGTGGCTTCGTAATCTACGTGAATGGTTCGGGTGTAGTTCGATTGAACTTTTCAGGCGCGCTGCTAACAAAGTCGCAGTGGCCATGATGATTTCCAATCTCCGCTAGGAGTGGCACGAGAAGAAGATTTTTCTTTTTAGGGTGAGGTCATGGCTCTTGAACACAGAGCTCATAGTCAAGAATGCACTTTTTGCCTTTTCACGACTCACTGATTATAGTTCCCAAGTACTTGTATTGTAAGACACGTTCAATTCTCATTTGGTTCACATACAGAGTTGCTCCAGTTATGTTTTCCTTGCTGGTGATCATTAGCTTGGTGTTGCTGGTGTTTATATTCAGTCTATATATTCTACTTGTTACCGTTATTTTGTTCATTAAGTTTTGCAGCCCTTCTATGGTATTGGAAAACACTATTGCATCATCTACATACCGCAGGTTATTAAGCTTTACTCTATTTACTAAGATATCTTTCTTCATCGATATCTTTTAGAGCCTCTTTAAAAATGTGCTCCAAGTACAGATTAAATATCAATGGTAAAATTATGCACTTCTGTCTTACTCCCCTTAAGATTTTGACCTGATCTGTATATTCTCCATCTATTCGAAGAACCGCTGATTGATTCCAATACAGGTAAGCTATAATTTTTAAGTCTTTTCCGTCAATCCCTGTCCTCTTTAGAACTTTCATCATTTGTTCATGTCTGACTCTATCGAAAGCCTTCTTGTAGTCAATCAGGCATGCAGAAACATTACAGCTGACATCTCTACATTTCTGAAACAATACCTGCACGCTAAATAAAGCTTCCCTCGTACCAATGGCGTTACCAACGACTTGTAAAAACAGCTTTAGCAGATGGCTCATTAGGCTTATGGTTCTACAATCTTCACAAACTCTTGCTCCTGGTTATTTGGGCAATGGTACGAACTCCGATTTGAGCCACTCTATGTTATTTTTCCTGCCTTGTGTATTTCATTAAATATTTTGTGTTCCCTGGATAAGAAGGTTCAAAGGTTATGCCTGAAGACTGCATAAGAAAGTTCAAAGTACAGAATTTGGAGTAAACTTTTTTTTTATTTAGAAATGTAAATAATTATAAAACTCTTGATAAAATTACTTTTTACAATACAAAAGTCCAATCAAATCGACTGAGGGGATCTTCAAGTTTCTCTTCCACATTGGTTTCCATATGTTCAATTTCCTTATTCTCGTCAATGTCACTCTTTTGTATATTTACTGGTTTATTTTCAGGATTTAACTTGGGTCTTAAAGCAGCCAAAGGTATTAAAGCAGCCTCCTCAGTTCTGATAGTTTTGGATCCCTGTTCTGGAAGGGTGTTCAGGTAATGGTCAAATAGTAATTTTGGATCATCCACATGCAACACTTGATCATTTTCTAGAGCTGCTTCTAGACGCTAAAGACCAGCAAACATTACCAATAAGTTCTTATAAGCAGGACAAGAAAAATCGTCAACTGAGGTGCCCTTATCTGACATTCCAATTGATACATCATACACTTCTTTATATGGACACTGTAAGAATACCTTAGAGAGAGATGTGGAGATTCTTACGGTCAATTCCAGGAGTTATGATTTTATTTAGCTGGCCAAATTGCTAGGGCAGCTTGTGTATATTTCAAGTAGACGAGATAGTTGTTTTTGATGATTATGGGGACGAGGCTTCTGCAAAGAAATCTAATTTAAATAGTGATGCTGGTAATGTAACAGCTAGACATTCCTGTGTACAGCTGGGAAGAATACTGCAATACTTGGAGTGTCCACAGTATCTTAGAAAACACTTCTTTCCCATACACAATGATTTGAAATTTTGTGGACTATTGAATCCTTTAAATACACCTCATCATTTGGGCCGTAATGAGGAATTTTTGTTTAGGGAGGGTGTTGTTCTAAATAAACCTACAAAAAGTGGTACATTTGTTAATGTTGGTCTATTGAAGGAAGTCCATGTTGATAAGTTACTCACTCCTGGTATTCGCTGCACAGTGAAAATTCTACCTAATGAGCAAGACTCTAAAAAACTTAAAGGTGTTGTAGTTTCCCCTAGTACTCCCAGAAAAGAAACAGGTGTATATTGGGGGTATACTGTAAGTATCGCCACATCTCTCTCTAAGGTATTCTCATAGTGTCCATATAAAGAGGGGTATGATGTATCAATTGGAACGTCAGATAAGGGCACCTCAGTTGACGATTTTTCTTGCCCTGCTTATAAGAACTTATTGGTAATGTTTGGTGGTCTTCAGGGTCTAGAGGTAGTTTTAGAAAATGATCAAGTGTTGAATGTGGACGATCCAAAATTACTATTTGACCATTACCTTAACACCCTTCCAGAACAGGGATCCAAAACTATCAGAACTGAGAAGGCTGTTTTAATAGCTTTGGCTCCCTTAAGACCCAAGTTAAATCCTGAAAATAAAATAGTAAATATACAAAAAAGAGACATTGACGAGAATAAGGAAATTGAAGATATGGAAACCAATGTGGAAGAGAAACCTGAAGATACTCTCAGTCGATTTGATTAGACTTTTGCATTGTAAAAAGTAATTTTATCAAGAGTTTTATAATTATTGACATTTCTAAATAAACTTTATTTATTGTACAATGAACTAACTGTGATATACTTACGTAGATAAAGGTTATTTCAAATTTGTCTAGACAATTTAATTATGAATTTTTTATGCCCCTAGTGCTCTAAAATTCTTTCAATTATCTCCGTTCTGTAGGGCTTAAATATCACTTTACTTAATTGAATAAACGTTGTAAAGATTAAATGTAATGCTTTCAAATTAAATTGATAATCTAGTTACTCATCAAACTCCCTATTTACACTTTATGGAGCCGTTAGATGAAGTTTCGGGTATCGCGAGCATCAAATTTATAATGTTGGATGTAATAGTGCGCTCAAATTCAAATTATTAAAAACCAGGGTGAACCTGTTTTATGGTTTTAAATATATAAAATTTAATTTTAAGGAGAGTTGTTAAAATAAAGTTGAATATTTTATAGTACATAACAAAATGCATCCATAATTTGTTTATATTTATACTTAATAGCAGACATAAAGTAACGGAATTTGTTTCACATCTGTTTCAGTAGAATCGCTTTATACAAATGCAATTTGCATAATATTGACAATAAACAGTGGTAGCCCAGACTGTGGATGACAAAAAGGGTGATTTTAGACTGTAATCCAGGAATCTATGTAATGTGGCCTAGTTTATAAATAGGTAACCTAGGTAACCTCAGGAGCAATCACCCAGTCAACAAAAAATTTTTGTTAATTGTTTATTTATGAGCGTTTATAGGTGCAAAATACGTATTTTTTGAGATTTTTTAATTTTTTGCCTAAAGTAAGTGTCGTAATGGGTAAAATCTGTATAGATTATGAAAGTACTCTAACAGACCTTTAATTTGAGCCAGTACACGTTTAATATAATTTATTTGTTTTTGAAAAAATTACGAATAAATGAAAAAAATTAAAAAACGTAATATTTAATGCAAAATTGCTTTTTTATTTATTTCAAATATATTACATACAAGCCTATAAACTTGCGAATTGAAAGAGCTGTAGTAGGTCTAAATCACTTAGTTTGTTGTTAAGATACGTTAATTAGTTTATCCTACGATCTTCAACATTGAATGCTTATAGGATTGGCAAAAAATGGTAAAGGGCTAATTCCTGTTTGATTCTCTTCTTAAAGCCGTAAATTTTCATAATCCGCTGGAAAATAATGAAAAAAATTTTTGAATTTTGAACCCGTTAAAAACAATTATTTATGAAATTGCAGTCATAAACATTTAGACCTGTAGCGCTCCCTATATACCCTACAAATTTCTAATTTGCAGGTTATTGTAGCTGGTTTCGAGACGAAGATTAAAAAAAAGAGTTTTCTATGACCAATAGGAGACGAATTAGCATATTTTTTTTAAATCACAGAGGCTTTATTAATAACAATTAAAAAACAAATCTGGCGACGCTCGGAAAAATTTTCAATATCTCAATGAAAATGAACTGAAATAAAATAATATTACTATGCTGATAATAAAAGCAAATCAAATAAAACATTAAGTCAATTTCGGTTCCTCGGTTCATGCCCGTATGTTCTAAATATGTGCTCTCTATGGTAAGGAGCCTTTCTGGGTTAAATCTAAATGCACGTATACTCTGGCAAGAATTTGGTAATGACGACTCATTAATATAACATTATAATTTAATTGTGCAAAGAACAAATCAGAAACGCCGTTTACTAATAACAAAATAAAAATAATATTGGTACCTACACAACATTTTGATAGCTTTCCGTATATTTTATTGGATAATGCGCGGTCTTTTACAATATTATAGCTGCAACAAAAGACGTATTTATGATCCTTCTCCTCAGTCCTAATCCCTTTTGGGATGTGGTGACACCATCAGGCCTTTACAGTTTTTTCACGATTTCCCTTCATCCTTCCCTATCCTGGGCTAGTTGTTCGGCTTTATGTAACCCTTGGTTAATCAATATTTTTGTTTGATCTACCCAATGGCTTGGAGATCTTCCCCTAGCTCTCTTTCCTTTAACTCTAGCCTCGAATATTAGTTTCTCCATCGTACCTGTTCTTCTAGCAATGTGTAAAAAAAAACTGCAAATATCTTTGTTGTATTAGTTTAAGAAATCTATCCTTTACTTAATAATAATAATAAATTGCCTTTATTTAGTCTGTAAAATTTTAAAAACACTAGGTACATGAGGCGAAGTCTAGCTAGAGCTACTCCACTTTTTTTTTTTTTTTTTATTAACCCCACATTTATTACAATCTATCTGTACAATCTAAACCTAAATATTTAGGTAGATAATAGACAATAAGTAATAGGACTGACAATAATTTGGAATGACATGTAGGGAGGCATCCAGTGATGCACCCCTTTTTTTAAAAACTTAGCCTACAACACTGACTATTTCTGACATAGACTTGTACACATTAATTTAGAACCTATTGTTCACTTAACTCTAACGGAACTTTTTGTTTTAGCCTACGAACAGTACGCGGTTTATTCACTAAACTTTTTGCTAACACGATTGGGTGCACTTTAAGTTTCTCTTTATGTTTTTTCGCGCACTTTTTGATGTCATCTTTGACATATGATAGTCCGGCATCCGATGAATGGCTTCATTGGTTATGAACCATGGAACTCCTAGTATTGATCTCAATGTTTTGGACTGGAATCTTTGTATTATTTCAATGTTGGAATGTGCGGCGGTTCCCCATAATTCTATCCCATAAGTCCACACTGGTTTTAGGATGGATTTGTAGATAAATATTTTATTTTCGGTTGATAGTTTTGATTTTTTGCCCAACAGCCAATATATGGTTCTTAACTTATGACCCAGTTGTTTTCGCTTAGTAAATATATGCTTCCTCCAGTTTAATCTTCTGTCCAAGTACATACCTAGTTATTTGACTTCATCCCCTTGTGGAATTCCTGTACCGTTTAAGTAAAGAGCGGACATGTTTCCCTACGCGTGGTAAATGTTAGGTGTAGCGATTTGTTTTCATTAATTTTGACTCTCCATTTTGTCATCCATTGTTGGATTTGATTTAGATTATTTTGTAAGATTTCTGAGGCTATTTTGGGATTTTTGTTCGACGATATTATTGCCGTATCATCCGCAAATGTAGCTGTAGTTATGTGTGTTTCTGTCGGTAGGTCAGCAGTAAATATAAGGTATAATATAGGTCCTAGTACACTTCCTTGGGGCACCCCAGCGAGAATTTGTTGTATGTTTGTGTATTTATTCTCATACTTTACCTGGAAGTTTCTGTTGGTGATATAGGACTTTAAGAGTATATAGTAATTTGTAGGTAAATTTTGTTTTAGTTTACATAATAAGCCTTTATGCCAGACTTTATCAAATGCCTGACTTACGTCCAGAAATACCGCCGAGCAGTACCTATTATTTTCAAAGTCCTCGTTGATTCTCTCTACAATTCTGTGTACCTGTTGTATCGTTGAATGCTGTTTTATAAACCCAAATTGGTGTGGTGGTATTAGTTTTTTGTTTTCTAGTATAGGCATTAGCTTAGTAAGTGTCAGCTTTTCAAAAACTTTGGATACCACTGGAAGAAGACTAATAGGACGGTAGGACTATACACTTTCTGGTTCTTTTCCTGGTTTTAGTATTATTGTTATTTGTGCTAGTTTCCATTGTGATGGGAAGTGGCCTAATCTCATTATAGAGTTGAATAACTGTGTCAGAAATTGGAAGCCTTTCTCTGGGAGTTGCTGAAGAGTTTTTCCCGTAATCAGGTCGTATCCTGGAGCCTTTTTTGGATCGATGTTGTGTTGTATAATATTTTTTACCTCATTTTTTGTGAATCTTTTTTCGGGAAGTTCTAGTTGATAAGGTTTTGTGAGTATCGAAATAATTTCTTCTTTAGTTTGTAGTGAGTAATTTCCCTCATTTGGTGTAAAGACTTTTTTAAGGTGTGTCGCAAAT